GGAGTGCATTTCTTAATCAGAAGCAATGCTATGTGAAATAGTACCATGATAGTAAGTGAGGCATTATCCAAATCCACAGATGATAGATTTGGCAAGAGCACTACATGCAGGAAAGACAAGTTCATACCCAGAATAAGTGTCTATTCCCATAAGGACACACCACTGTCCTTTCCATGGTGGAAGTGGTCCAATATAATCAACCTGCCACAGGTCACAGGCTGATTACCGTGAAATAGTGTCATATCAGGGATTTAGAGTTGGTCTCTGCTGCTGTCAGACCAGGCATTTAGTGATAGCTGATCTCATGCAGAACAGCCCTTCCTGCCACCATGACCACTTTGTTCATGAGACCACTGGATAATGATAGGAGTAGCTCAGGAAAGAGATATAGATAGATTCTATATCTATAGAATGGGTCATTGTATCCACTTGATTGTTAAACTTCCTCTTCTGCTGAGGTCACTTTTTGGTGATAATTTACACAAATATCTTTACAACCTTTGTCCACACAGAGAGTTCTATCCACATACCTCTTCCCCATATGTGTTTGTGATCAATTTTCCAGTCATCTTCCTTCCAAGTCCCTGACTATCTATGAATAGTTAGTTACATAGTCACATATCTGGCCATTTTTATTCCAAGCAAAATGTATGATCATGTGCACTGCCAAATGTTCTGCCCACAGTGAAGATTTCCATTTACCAGTGTCCTTCAGGGATGTCCTAGAAAGGAGCTGTACTGCTGCAACTGTCCAATTTTGGGTGATGCCTGCATAACTTGCAGAACCATCTATAAACCTGGTCCTAGACTTTTCTTACTCTGTCAACTGGTTATAAAATATACCCCATGAGTTCATAGGTGTATACTGGATGACAGACGGTAGTATAGGATGAGTAGGAACAGTGGGCCTATAGGATACTCTGCATGTAACTTACTTGTATCTTCTGGACCTACTTGGGCCCTATCACTCAAATACTACTTCCACTTGTCAATGTACTGCTGCTGTGCATGTCCAACTTTATGACTCAGTGGATCAGATAGTATCCAATTCATGATAGCCAACTTAGGTCACATGGTGATCTGGTATTCCATAATTAACTATTAGGTTTCCACTAAGGCCAGTAGCAAGGTGGGAGCTGTTTTTCAAAGGGAGAGCAATTGTCTGATGATGATGCCAGGCCCTTGATAGAAATTCCTAAAGATTTTTGCTGTGATTCACCTATGGAAGTCCTCCAAAGGCTCCTAACAGCACTCCTGTCTTCAACTGACACCACAAGTACCACTGGACCTAATGGATCATATGGTCCAGATGGCAGAGCAGCCTGGACCTGTGCAGAGCCTTCTCCTGTGCTGGGCTCCACTCAAAACTATCATCTTTCCAAGTCACCCGCCAAATGGGCTCTAGTAATGCACCCAAATGAGGAATGTGTTACCTCCAAAATCCGAATAGGCCCATTGGGCATTGTGACTTATTCTCTGCTATAGAAAGGACTACATACAACAACTTATCCTATATCTTGGAAGAAATATCTCTGTATTCCCCAAACAACTAGATTCCTGGAAGTTTCACTGAGGTAAAGGGCCCTTGAATTTTATTTGCATTTTTCCCATGTTCTGACATGCAAACACTTCACTTCATAAGAAGTCCCAAGTGGTTGCTATCTTTTGCTCACTTGATCCAGTTAGCATAATGTCATCAATATTATGCACCAGTGTGATACTTACAGAAGTGAAATACAAGATTCCTGGAAACTAAGTTGTGACCCAGGGCTAGAGAGTTAATATACCCCTGAGATAGGATGGTAAAAATGCATTGCTAGCCTTTCCTGCTAACAGCAAATTGCTTCGGATGGGCCTTATGTATAGGTATGGAGAAAAATGCATTTGCCAAATTAATAAGTGCAAACCATGTAACCAAAAGATGTGTTGATCTGTTCAAGCAAGGAAACCACATCTGGTATGGCAGCTGCAATTGGAGTAACCACTTGATTAACCTTATAGTATTCCACTATCAATCTCCAAGAGCCATCATCATCTTCACAGGCCACACAGGAGAGTTAAAAGTGGTGGTGTAGAAACTATGATTCCGACATCTTTCAAGCCCTGGGTGGCAGCGCTAATCTCTCCTATCCCTCCAAGGATGAGATACTGCTTTTTTTATTTACTACTTTCCCAGGCAGATATTCCATTTGGCCTTTCCCACTATAAAATCCTTGCACAACAGATTAGGGGACCAATATGATCATTCTGTCAAGTACAAAGTATATGTATTCCAATTATCCGTTCTGGAACTGGGGAATAATCATGGGATGGAACCAGAGACATACTGGACCTTGGTTAAAACCCCATAGATCACCTGACCTTCATAGGCTTCTACTCTTACTGGAGAGTCACAATGATGTTTTGGATACCCAGGAATCAGCAATAGTTCAGAACCAATGTCCTATAGTCCCCAACATTTCTAGTTGTTTTCTTTTCCCTAATACAAAAGACCATAAATCCCTATGGAGAAGGATGGGAGAAAGATTGACAGCATAATTTTTTTGGTAGTTTACTAGGCCTTTCCTCAGCCTCAACCCATAAGAAAAAAAGCTGCATTATGAGAAATTTGTCATATTAAACAGAATGGTTAATAGTATCCAAGTATACTTATTTTATTTTTCTCTGAAAAAAAGAGCTGCCAATATTTCACCAGTAAGCATAATAATACTGTGGGATTTTTGCAGCTTTCACAGGGCACTCTTTTTTATTCCCAGATTGCTAAAAAAATTATTTTAAATGAATGAGGATGAATTTTAGCAAATGTTTGCTTTTGTGTTTGTTTTCACTTCAGCTAAGTGATGATAAGGTATTTCTTCTTTCCTCAATAATATGATGTGTTTTTCAAATGAAAAGCCAAATACGTGTTGCTAAGATAAGCCTAGGTTTCTCACAAGATATCTGTTTCTTATTGATTGATTTGGTTTGTACTGACACTCAAAAGTGATGTTGCTGCGCAATTTGCCTTTCCCATGTTGTCTTTATGGTGTTAAAGCCAGGCTCATTCTATAACGCATAGGGGTAGCATCCATTCCCCAGAAGAAATCACACAGCAATCTTTGATTATTTTCTAGAGAATCCTGCCTTTTGTGGGTATCAAAGCAAATGTTCCAATTTTATGGGTTCAATATACTCTCTCAAGAAAACAGTAGCCTTGAACCTGAACTCTCATTATTCCTTTGAATATAGCCTGATAATCACTCCTGCATTGGCATTTCTTCAAGCCTTTTAAGACTTTTTCAACATTTTGCACAGTTTGGGTTTTCGTTGATTTTAGTGTGAAGTTTGATATGAAATCCTGGGTCACCTAATGAAATTCTTTATGCACATCTTTATTCACATTATTGAGTACATGTGTTTTACTCTTTTTTCATATTACAGGCTTTTCCTATATTTTTAAACTTAGTTTGATGTTTGTAAAACAAAATAAAATGTTGAAAATAATCATTAAATTAAAATCACCTTGAATGGTAAGACACTAGTAAAGCTGTTATACTACTTTCTCTGTTTTTTCACATTGCTTTGTAGGTACACAGAGATATTCCATAGATCATGTACAAAGAAGAGATAAAGCTCTGTACACCTCTAAAACTGTGAAAAGTTGTACCTACTGTATTTATATGTTTAGAGAGAATCTTTAATTTTCACAAGCTGTTTCCATTGAGCCTATCATATTCCATAAAAGATTGGGAACTGAGAGCTGGGAATTTAGCTCAGTGGTTCCACCTCCTGCTTCACAAGTGTAAGGTCCTGAGTTTGATCCCTGATAACAAAAAAAAATGATTATGAATTGAGTTATTTTTGCAAAAATTATAATGCTGTTTTGCACATATACAGGATCATCAAAATACTTTTAAATGTGACTAATAACCCACATGAGAGTCTAAAATGATTCCCTGTTTTTTGTGATTCCCTGTCCTTTTTCCCAACATTGACTATTTCACTCCAATTCCCTTTGTCTTCTAGGTAGCACAGCAATGAATGTGCCTCTATTTTGAAATTAGCATCCATGAAACAGAGGATTGGAGCTAGTTTTGGCCTCTTATGTCATCAATGAAATAGAAACTTAGGTGTTTTCTGGCTAGAGTCTGACAGCTCTCAACAAAATTCTGTCATGCAGGAAGTCATGGAGAGCACTAAGACATCTATGTCAAGTAGGAATTGCAAATACAAGTCTTTCACTGTGTCATAATTTTCACTGAAGATATGTTGGAACTTAGTTGACATGAAAAAGTATCAATTACAAAGGCTTCTTCTCTTATTTTCTTTCTCTACCAGAACATTGCACCTCCTAACTAAAGTGGCTATGCCATCTGCCTGGATAAATTCTAGAAAGAAGTGGAAGTAACAGGGACCTCAGCAGGGTGGCCATGATCCAAGGGTAGAGGCAAGTAGGTTTTACCTTTCCTCTTCTGACTCCTGTGACTTTTCCCTGGTGTCCTCGCCTACATCCCCAGCCATGCCACACCAGGTTTCATTCACCCTTGTCCAAGCCTTAATAAGTATATATAAGTAATCCAAGAAATTTACATTCATCAATACAAAGATATTCATTGAGATTCCAAGGGATGGAAGCTCTAAAGTAACAGGGACAGGATATGGTGAGGATAGGCAGCTGCCCGTTTTCATGTCTTCTTGAAGGTGTTGGGGGCTTGAGTGGGTTGAGGTTTCGGGAACACACAGCTCCAAGGACCCCTTCTGGTTGCCCTGAGTTCCTCTTTCTGCTGTCACCACTGACTCAGCAACTGAGTGGGAGATCAGGATGTTGGCTTGGATGATTCCCTCTTTGCCAAGGTCACTGGCAGTTGGTGGGCAAACCTCCTAGGCAGCCCCGGGTGGTGCAACCACCACACTAGCAGGACCATGGGGCTGTAAATTCTCAAGCCCCCCTCCTACCTCTTCCTTCCTCTCGCAAAGGCTAAAAGTCAGCCAGAGGGAAATATATGCAGCAACTGACTGAGCAGACTTGCAGGCAAGATGCAGCCACTCCTGCTCCTGTTGGGATTCATCCTACTCCCCGGGGCCCAGGCAGGTGAGTGACCAGCCCCAACCTCAGAGGTCTGATCCCACCCACAGACTCTGGGGCCACACTACTTTGGCACATCCTCATTCTACATGCTTGAGCACGTATTTGAATTCACATCTCCTGTCCCCTCAACTATTAAATGGGAACAATATTGATGACAACCTTGCAGAGTTGTTGTGAGTGCTGAATTATTGATGTGCATAAGTCTTAGAATTGACCCTGGTCTAAGGTAAGTGCTGCATATTTTATATAAATTCGTTCTCTATCCTTCCCACATGTCAGAGCCTAGGGGTCAGAGATACAGAAATAGCAGTTCCATCAGCCCAGCTCTAGCTTCTTAAACACCAATCCTGTGCTGTCCATAGCTGGACTCGGAGAGGGATGTGCAAAGTTCCCTAGGGAGGAAGTGCCAGTGAACTTCAAGGAGAGTTCATCCTAGATAACAACCGAGCCTCTCTCCTCCAGACCTGAAGCTGAGCAAGGCCTTGCCTGGAGCAGCCCTTCTTCTCCCCTTGCAGAGGAGGGGGGTGAGATGAGGTCTGGGGTGGCAGTGGTGTCTGCAGATCCTGGGAGCCTCCTCCCAGCACCTGACACCTGCAGAACCCACCACTCACCATCAGCTCCTCTCTCTCCCACATCTCCTCTCCTGCACTCCCACCTTCCAGGCTTTCTGAAGCCACCAACCTGTGCCTACACTGCAGGTTCTCGAGCAGAGGTAAGTGCTGAATGCTTCCTTGCAGGGAAGATCATTGGAGGACGAGAGGCCAGGCCCCACTCCCACCCCTACATGGCATTTCTTCAGATTCAGACACCAAGAGGTCGGAGCAGTTGCGGAGGTTTCTTGGTGAGAGAAGACTTTGTGATGACAGCAGCTCATTGCTGGGGAAGGTGAGAAACTCAGGCAATCCTCTGGGAGACAGCAGTGCAGACCCAGAAGAACTCAGAGAAGCCATCTGAAAGCAACACTTTGGCAATGAAAGGGTGAAAAAGAGACTCACTAAAGTTGGGGAAATGGGAGGTGGAAGGTCAGTGTAAATGAGGAGAACAGGAAAACATGATCTAAAAGAACAGGTGATGAAAAGCATGCACTGAGGCTCACAATGTGAATCCAAGTTATTTTGCAATTAATTTGGAAGAATAAACATTAAGGTCACCATCCCTCACCATCCCTCTCCATCCCCAGCTCGGGGATGCTGAGCGACAGAAAGCTGGTCCCACGGTCCTTCCATTCCCTCCACTCTCTCCAGCTGCAGTTTTGCCCTCAGTTGTCCATGGCACTGCACAGCTGCTAGACCATAGCTCTTGCTTCCCATACTTACCTCTAGGCCAACATTTCTTTTGCAGGGTTATAAATGTCACACTGGGGGCCCACAATATCCAGAGGCTAGAAAGGACCCAGCAGAGGGTCTCTGTGCGCAGAGCCATCCCTCACCCTGGATATGACCAGCAAACCATCCTGAATGATATCATGTTACTGCAGGTACCGCATTCCTATCTGGTTCTTCAGCCTAGCCAATTCCCTCCTAGGGTAGGAGCTCCACTGTGCTGGGACCATGCAGGAGGAAAAAGAGCAAGGCTCCTGGGGAGTGGGCTGGGGAGAATATAAGTCGAGGACTGTACCAGCAGTCCCCGAGAATTGGTTGGGAGTCCCTCCTGAGCAAGAATGTCTGCACTCTTCTGACAGCTGAGGAACAGAGTCAGGCGGAATCGAGTTGTGAGGCCAGTGGCCCTGCCTAATGCTGGGGAGAAGCTGAGGACTGGGGCCTTGTGCACGGTGGCTGGCTGGGGCCGGGTCAGCCTGGACAGGAGGACAGACAGACTGCAGGAAGTGCAGCTGAGTGTGCAGAGTGATCGGAAGTGCACTAGTCGCTTCAGCGTCTATAACAGTCAGACTGAAATTTGTGTTGGGGACCCTAGACAAAGGAAAGTCGCCTTCAAGGTAAGCATATGAACATCTGCTGTTATTTCCTGGGATAGGGTGGCCTGTGTAGAGATGGGGCAGTGGGAACAGACTCTATCCCCATTAGTCTCAGCCTGGGGACCAGGCCAGACCAAACCAAGGTGGGGTGGGACTCTTTTTCCTATCCATCCAGTACATGGGAGAATGGGAGGAAGACCTACACTCAACAGGTACACATGCAGCATCTTCCTGGAGAAGGTGAAGGCACTTTGACTCTGGCTGATCTGAAGACAGTAATCACAGCCAGGGCTGCAGCTCGCTACTGAAAGATTCAGAGACCTCGCTCCCGCATCCCCAACCACCTGCCGCCTCACACACAACAGCAATTGAAGAAGCCCATCCACCGCTGCCTTCTCTAAGAGACAAGGGTTTAGGGTAGCAGGAGCAGAAAGGTCTGACTTGGTATCCTGTCTCTTCTCTGCCTACAGGGGGACTCTGGGGGCCCCTTGGTGTGTAACAATAAAGCTCAAGGTATTGTCTCCTACGGAGATGGCAATGGAACTCCTCCGGAAGTCTTCACCAGGATCTTGAGCTATATGTCCTGGATAAAGAGAACAATGAGACGCTTCAAATAGCAGGATCGGAGAACTCCCTAAGCCCATGACTGACAGTAAATTTCTCTAGAACACAGGTCAGCTGCAGGAGATTTCCAAGCCTTAATAAATGTTCCATCCAGTGTGCAAATATTTGTTCATTAAATATCTTTCAGTACTGTCTCAGTTGGTTTGAACTGCTAAATAAAATGTTGACTTATAAACAACAGAAATATAGCTAAGACATGTGGCTAAAAAGAATGTTCAAGAGGATAAGACTATGTTCGTTCTGTCCTTTGACCCAGTGATGTATGTCATCTTTGCAATAGAGCCAGCTATCTACGTCAACCTTGTGATAAGATACAGGCCAGGGGTATGAAGTAATGCAATGGTCACACTCATTATAGAATGGAATGTTGTAACTGTTTTCCTGTATATTTGGAAAAGCTTACTTGAAGGAGAGCAAGTGACAACTGGAGTAGCCAAAGGAGGCTAAAACAGCCTCTTCCCAGTTGCTTAGCACTCCAAATTTTCCCCCTGACAGATCACAAAGTTGATTCTTTGACATTTAGGCGATGGTTTCTTCTTCCATATATGTTTCTGGCAGAGAGTGGATGATGAAAGGAAAGGGCCTCAAATGAATGTATAGATATATGTGATCCTCTTTTAAAGGGTCCATGGAATTGTCAAATTTTCCAGGATTCGAGCGAGATGCTTTCAGTGTTACTTAAAGGTAGGTAAGGCTGTCTCAAGGGGCTACCAAACCAATAGCCAAACCTACTACTCTGTCCAGGATCAAATCCAGGTTCCTGTGATGGCTAGGAAGAATGATATTATGGATTGTTATTGGACTAATTTGTGGACCTAGGCCACTGCTGGTACATTGCCTCTTGGGCCTTGATTTGTCTATGTATTGAAGAGGAATAGCTTTCCTTGCAGGAAGATAAAGTTAAGGCAAGCTCTTAAGGGCCAATGGTCTGTGCAGGGGCCACATAAAAACATCAGTCCTCATGGTGTCTTACACAAGAATTGTTAGCAAGGTGGTTTAGGTTCAGTCCTCAAGTAGCTGATCCAATAAAAGAGGGATAGCCCCTCCCCAATCACACACCTCACTCGGGGCTGGATCACCTGTAAGGGCTAGAGCCAGAGTGCAATTGCTGTCTTAACTAATATCCAGGAGATAAGCTCATATCTCACCACAGGCCACATTTTGATGTTTGGCTATTCACTAGTGGGCACCAGTGGGTAAGATTGTAAGTTCTGCCAGATGTAGTGGCTGAACTAGGATAAACAATGAAATTATCCTTGTTAAGGAGGTTGAGGCTTGTTAGGACATGGAGTGAAGGGGCTATGTAGTGATGAATAGCTGAGAGAAAAATCCTCTCATGATATGAATAACATGAAGAATTTTGTTTAGGCTGTGACAAAAGCAAGATCCTGGAAGGAGGCAAACACAGATAGGGAATCCTGAGGGGACCCTTCTTTGTAACTCAAGTTGGAGGAGGTATCTGTAATACAGAATTTCCAATTTTGTGCCTGCTAGGGAAAGGAATGGCAAACCCAAATGCTGAATATGCTTTGGTCTGAATCAATTATTTGGGAAGAATTAGCAAAGGAGTTTGAGCCTCAGTCACCAACAAGGAGAGGGGCACTGGTATGGCTTATATCTAAATGTCCTTCTAAAGCCTCATGTGCTCCTTATAGATGAGAAGTGACTGGCTCATGGGTGTGGATACTGAATTAGCCCAACAATGAGTTTATAGTTGGGTATGATGTTGGTAGGGGAAACCTGGTAGACAGAGGTGGATCACTGTGGGCATGATCTAGGGTGATATATAACATTTTGCTTCCCTTGATCTCAACCCTGCTTCCTGCTTGCCTTGCCATCTCTTTCTCTTAGGCCATGGTTCTCTGCCTTGCCACCCTGCCTTAGAGCCAGATGACTACAGACTGAAGCCTTTACAAACTGTGAGCCAAAGTAAACCTCTCTTTCTTTAATTTGTGGATATCGGGTATTTTGTCCCAGGAATGAGAAAATAATAAGAAAAACACATAAGGAAGGAAGGATAAGAAAGTAAATAATCAAGGCCACCAGTCAACCTTAAGGAATACAGCATGATGAATTTTCTAGGAAGCAAATCTGGGAATGTTAAAGGATAGGAATAAGGACAAGGTTTATATGTAATATAAGAGTAGCCAAGCTAGGCCCAGCAGGAAGAAAGGAGACTTTTCCCTGAGGAGGAGTTGGTTCCCAATGGTAAAGGAATTTGAATAGGGAATGAGAAGGAATACGCGTAGTACCACTGTTGTATTATTTATATCCCCAGGAAGGAGCGTGGGCAAGAACGTTTGGTAGAGAAATAAAGGGAATAATGGCTTGAAGTAAATGAAAACCTTAGTCCAAGAGTAGTCTGAAAGCTCCCTCTGGGGGAAAAAAGTCTATGACAAATTCCCAGAATTGAGTTGGTTCCTGCAGGACATCAAGCGAAAGGGAAGAGTTCGTAGGTTTATATCATGAAACTCAGAAAGATGAGAAAAAGAATCCCTATTATTTATCAGAGTGTGGGGTAATTATGGGGGACTCTTTACTTGGATTTTCATTGGAAAAAGAAGTGCAGATCTCTGAAAGTATCAAAAATATAGTTGCTTCAATTGTCTGGAGGACAATACTTTGGTAAGTGGATCCCAAATGACTGACCTTGTAGCCTGACTATGAAGAGACAAGTACGCAGTACCTGGTAAGGTCCATTCTACGCTGCCTCAAGTGGATTTCTAAGTGTACTTTATCTCCTAGGTTAACAAGAGGGTGTGATGCCAAAAAAGTAGAGTCCAATTGGGACCACATTTGTTCTGGTAGTCAGTAATAGTCTTGACTTTCGTCACAGTGATATGACACAGTGAGACGGGTAGTGAGCCTCTGGATCTAGCAAGATGTCAATTTAAGGAAAGATTTGCCATTGAAGACTTTGAAATGACAGAGATGAATTATAGATTTGGTTGTGATGCGGGATTTTAAAGGGTGAAATTGGCAGAAGAGTGAGCAGAGATTGTCGTGTCTTTTTGGAGAGTTTAGAAAGGATCTTTTTGAGTTGGGTTAGTCATCACCAGTCGTTCGAGAGATGCAGATGGAAAACAACACTGAGATTCCACCTCACCCCAGAAAGAATGGCTGCTATCAAGAAATCAACCAATAACAAATGCTGGAGGGGTTGTGGGAAGAAAGGAACCCTTCTCCATTGTTGGTGGGAGTGCAGACTGCTACAACCACTGTGGAAATCAATATGGAGAGACCTCAGAGCTAGGATTAGAGGTTGCGTTTGAGCCAGCTATTTCGCTACTGAGTACCTGCCCAAAAGATCTAAAAGAATCGTACCACAGTGATGTATGCATGCGCATGTTTATAGCACCACAGTGTGTAATAACTGAATCTTGGAAAAAGACCAAGTGCCCATCCAATGGAGACTGGATAAAGAAAATGTGTCTTTTTAATAAAATGGAGTACTACTCAGCCATAAAGAATGAGAAATTAGAGACATTTATAGCTAAGTGGATGCACATTGAGCAATACCCTTAAGTAAAATAAATAGGATACACAGGTGTAAATACCAAATAGTTTCTCTGGTATGAGAAACTAAAAGTGTAAATAAGGATTAAAATGAGTAATTGATAATGTGAAATAGGAAGGAAAGGTCCAAAGCGGGTAGGGGGAGTGGGAGGGGTAGGGAAACAGAAAGAAGGGAAAGGGAAAAAATATTAGAGAAGGAAAAATGGAAACAAAGCCTTTGCAAATAGGGAGGTGTGGAGAGGTTGAAGAGAGGGCTTGAGAAGGGGGAAAACATAAGAGCCAAGGTACACCATGCGAAGGTACAAGTTCCCAATGATGAATACAAATGTATTGTATTCCTAAAATGTACCAATAAAATAATATAAGAGAAAAAAGAGTGGGGTTAGTTCTTTGTACTTTTCTTGGAGGAGTGAGAATGTCAAGCTGTGTGGGGTGACAATTTCAAGAGCCTCACTGATTCACTAACAAATTAAGGGCCTCGTTTTTCAGAGGTTATGTTGGAAATGAAAGTAGGGCCATTATTTGATTATAATGCTTGAGGAAGACCAAAGCAGGGTTTAATATGTTTCAAAAGTCAATCAGTATTCACTTTAGAAGCTCTTTCTGTTTGTGTGGAAAATGCCTCTACCTACCAGTAAAAGTGTCTGTAAAAACAAATAGATATTTAAGAACTTTGAATGACAGCATATGGATAGTCTTCTGCTAATATTCCCTGGCACAGTTCCCTTCTGTTGGGTCAACTGCACAAGAAGAAGGGATCCTTTTGGATTAACCAGAGTACAATTGGAACATGTCTTTGAAATGTCTGAAAGAGTTTATAAGATCTTGATTCCTATAAAAAGAGGCTCTGTTAAAGTCTGGAGAGACTTTGCTCCTAAATGTGTGGCCTGATGAAGACTCTTGAGACTTTTCCATAGGGAATATTTAGGTGGTAATAATTTATTTGCGGGGCTTTGCAGCTATCATGGCTTGAATCTAGATGTCCCCCTAAAACCTCATGCAGTCATAGGTGGGGCTTTTCAGAAGTGGCTGGATCTAGGGTGTGTGCTGCTGGGATCAAGGTTGTGATGCTGGGACTGATTTATGGTGCAATGCTAGAAATAAGACCACTGCACCCTGCATGTCAGTGCTACCTTCCCTAAAGGTGGGGTAGACTGGTTAAAATATAAGGGACAGAGGGTCTCTATTTGTCATTTGTAGCTTGCTGCTTTCTACTTTCTGCCTTCTGCCTTCCAAGAACTTTTCCTCCTCTAAGTGTCCCTCCACCATGCCAACCTGCCTTGGAGCCAGCCAACTAGGAACTGAAGCCTCTACAAACTGTGATCAAAATAAACCTTTCCCCCTTTAACTTTGGGTATCAAGTATTTTGTCTCAACAATGAGAAAAATAACTAAGACAGTAGTCTTCCCTGTGGAGTGGCTGTGAAACCTTGTTTCGATGCTTTCTGAGTTTCCTGAGGAGTATATTGTGGACAAGGGAGGACAGTAGAGTGGGGAATTAAGGCTGTCTGCTTTAAGAAGGGACGGACTCCACATTTAGTTTAATTGCTCAATTGTTGTCCAAGGAAACATGACTGATTCTTATGATAGACCTCCAATGCATGATACCTACCTG